TCCCTAATTTTGAGCTCCTCCTGCCATAGTTGTTTTCTGATGGGAATTTACATGGGACATCAGTTTAATTTCCTGTGCTATTTTGAGTGACCCGTTTATGAATACTTCTCCGTAGATCAACCTGTCACTGGTTTTCTTTTTTCTTTTTTTTCTTGTACTGGAAACATTGACCATCTGGCCAACTAAAAGCCATTGCCAATGAATCAGCCTGGAGCTTTACATTACACAATGTCTTCTTTTTTATGGGACAGACTACCAGAAGTACCACTCAACATTCTGTTAGTATTTCTCACCACCCCTGAGAGAGGGCTGCAGTGCAGCTCTGTTGTACTCTGGAGACCAGGTTTTTGACTGCGTAGTGACTAAGTGCCAACACCACCTCGTCTTTGAACTAAATGCTTTTCACATACACTCCATTGCATCCTCCCACCAGCGCTAGTTTGAGTAATCCTGATGAACCATGTGCCTAGGCTCATCATGATTTGTTTATCTATAGGAGGAGCTTATCCCTATGCTCTTCCAATACGAGCAATTCAGTTCTAGAATTTCATAGAAAGGAGAATTTTCTAAGTCCCTTACTGTATCGGCGTCACAAAGTTAACAATTGTCTAACATCCATTAGTATAATTTGGGAAAAGTTTAATGAAGGAACTGTCAATATCTGCAAAGATGTGACTGGGATGTAGGGAAGCCATGTGTGATAGTGCAGCACCTCGGGACTAGTACAGCATGGTATTCTCATTTCCAGGTCCAAAGTGATGAGGGAGAGTTCCACATAGAGAGGGCACTTCTCCAGCCCTGTGCAACTTCATGTTGAGGCAGCCAGCCAACACCAGGAGCTGGGGGTAGGCAGCAATAGGTGAGAGAAGTACCCTTGCCTTCCTCTTCTGAAACAAAATAGAAACTATAAAATAAAACCTGGCACCAGCCATTGGCTTGGTTACAGTGCCAGACTCCCACATGGCCAATCACAGTTTGAGTCCCAGATTCGGTGGCTTGAAACTCATGCCCGGTGCATGAGTGTGAGTGCCTAAAATCCTGAGAAGAGAAGGAAGGAGAAGGGATTGTGGCATGGCCATATCCCAGGGCAGAATGATTTTTCATGTTCTCTCTTTCTCTCTGTATCTCTGTCTCTCTCTCTCTAGAGAGAGAACATATTCCCTATCACAAAGAGAAAAACTAGAAAAAAAAAAAAGAAGAAAACCTTTAATGTAGCCTATACAGATTCACAACTCACAGCAAAGAGCGGGCTATAAAAAGAAGAGTGGGAGTAGAGGGACAAAGAAAAATATCCAGTACAGTTCACTGTGATATTTTTAAAAATGTAAGCCAATAGCATCACTTTCTTAAAAAAACAAACTAGGAAGAGTGTGCCAATATTAACTAAATTGTGTTAGTAACATGTTAACAAACATTTGTGTGACCTAAATATATATGTATAAATACGTATAGTATATTTGCAATGCTAATTTGATTAGTTACATTTACTGCATGCAGTAATAAATTAAGTACATTTAAAGACATTTTTGCTAAAAATAAAATTACATAGTTCATTGTACCTTATGTTTTTTGTTAATCCTGAAAGTTGAAAAAAAGATCTCTCTGAAGCACTTTGTTTAAATATTGTTAAGGTAACAGGGTTCAACTTCAGGTCCAACTGGGCGTTACCAAATATATTTCCTATCTCATCTTCCTCATTTTGTTTTTCCACTCAGACTTCTTCTACATGCTTTCTGTAGCCAAACACACATCCATACATTTTGTTTCCTACTGCCTTAAGAGGTAGAATTGTGTAGTGGATAAAACAAAACGGGTGCCTAATTGCCTGGGCACATACTTGACTCTTTTTAGTTAACTGCACGCCCTGTATATCTCATCTGTAAAATACAATGATACCTATATCTTATGAACTGGCTCATTGGATTGAATTGAGATGTATATGTAAAGGGATTACTTAGAACAAAATCTCTGGCATTTATCAATTGGAATAGGTAAACTGTAATCATTAATATTAGGTATCTACAGTTTAAATGAAAACAAGAGTTATTTGGCAAGGATATTCACTGCCTGCCAAAAGGATCACCTATGTATTTCAGGAATCTCAGGTTTCATTTGGTTATCCCACTTTGCTTCCAATATTCACAGGTAAGAAAATTGCCCGTAAATATATTGAGCCTTGTCACTAAAATACGCACGTCGCACTAACTATCCGTTTAATCTTCTCCACATTTTTCCCATTCAGCCCAGGACAGAGCTAATGAGTATCATTCTAGGCGCGATATAGTATATGAGAGGAGTTAACTAAAACACGTTTTTGCCTAATTAACGGTTTTGCCCAATGTTGTGCCGGGAAGCCGCAATAATTACATTTCCCGTGTACATGCTGTTAGCCTACCCCTCAACTCGATCTGCCATAAAATCTTAAAGCGAGTTTCAGTTCTCCGCACGCGGGTTTCGAAGACGGCGGCGGTCCGGGCCTCCTTGGCAACGAGTTACTGGCGTCCCGGCGATCATTTAAACAAGGCGCTGCCGTCTCATTGGCCAGGAGCTGCTGTCCACTGATTGGCCCCCTGATAAGGTGGGCGGTGCCCGACGGTGCCTATTGGCGGAAGCGGGAAGTTTAAACGGAGCCGAAACGCCAGGCTCTTTTTGCTCTTGGTTTGGGACTACGAGCTGGGGGGGCGTTGGTCCTTTTTTCCTGGGGCATCGGCTACTGGAAAAGAAAAGAGGCGAGTTCTCTCCCACGCGCCCGCAGTCGCCCCTGAGGGGAAGCGGCGGCAAAGGCCGGGCGCCGGCTCCGGAGCAACCTAGCAGGCGCGGGGTTGGGGCTGCCCTGGCGACGCGGAGAGCCGGGCGCTGCTGCTGGGAGCGCAGCCCG